CCTGAACATCTATATGAGTTGATTTGGTTGGGGTAAGTTGTTCCACATCTTCCACACATTAACTCAGCTAAAGTTCTCATCCTCCCTGATTAAAATCTTCTGGGGATCTTAAAACAAAACAAAACAAAACAAAACAAAACATAAACACACCTAAAACTGCAAAGTCAGTCATAATCTTATAGATAGGTCAACAGATTGAAGGAGTTGGGGGAGCTAGCTAAAACTGAAACTGGATAGAACAACAAGGATCTGTATTGGATTCTTCAGGAAGGACATTGTGAATGGGATAAAATACTGGGATTTTCACCATTTTCCTCATGACTTTTTTCCAAATAAAATTACTGCTTTATGTAATTAGAAGAATTGTATGTTTGGGCATCCTGCATTCCTTTTGCATTAGTGTCTTGGTTTTTTTTCTTTTTTTTAACCCAAATGTTTAAAAGGTTTGGTAATCCAATCATCCAGTTTACTCTGAGGTGTGCTGTTTAAAATAGCTATGTGTGATTGTGGGAGAGAATGAGGGTACTCAGGAAACCTAATGATTCTATGGCCAAAACATGATGCAATTTGGAGGAAAGAAGTCTTCAAGATAATGTTGAAGTGAAGGAGCTATCAAAGCAGATAATGGGAATAGACTTGGCAGTTTTACAGTCTGCATACAAACATACACCCACGTGCATGTGCACATGAACATGTGCATGCATACAGAGAGAGAGAGAGAGAGAGATGCACACAGGTTTAGTCTTAAAATTGATTCAATAGCATGATACTAGTGCCACTAGGAAAGAGGCGAGAGATCCCTCTGTCCTAGCCAGCATTTCTAATTCTGGAACTGGGATATTTAGCAGTAAGCCAATACCTAATGTAATTTATGGCTGTTAATTCTCCAACTTCTTTTTAAATAGGAAGGAAATGAAAAAAGAATTAGTACTTTCTCCAGGAAAAGTAGCCAGAACTCCTAAAAAACTTGGCAGAAATAGAAAAATCAAGATGTAGATAAAGAAGCCAAACATGCTCAACTGTTAAAAGAATGCAGCTAATTTTGCACAATATTGGAAAACAGAACATTATCAGTTGAAGTTTGGAAAGAATAGGAAGCATCTAAAGATTTTCTGAGTAAATTGAAGAACCTCACAAAATTAAGCTGATTCAAGCTGTTCTGGGATTAGGATTTTGAGGGCTCAAGAGTTGAAGAATGGGAAGCTGTAGCATGGATGAATTTGAAAATATAGTATCATTATCTTTATTCCTCATGGCCCTTACTTCCTTGCCCAACTACCTTCAAGAAAGCTAAGTAGTTAACCACTAAGTATCATAGTGGCCTCTAGTGATCAGACATTTTCCTTGCATGCTGTTTGAACTAACAGAAAAATGTAATTTCACACATTCATTATAGCCATACAATATGTGAATAGTTTCTCATTAAAAGATTTTCTGTTCTTCAGAGAATTTTAATTAAGTATGTTGTAGTTGATTGTTCTTTATTAACCTTTAAAAAATGAGCTGTTTCTGAAGAATAATTCTCTTCAGAATATCTCAGTTCTGTTAATAAGACAGAATCTTGAGTTTTTTCTTCAGAGAAGGATGAGGCTTGTCTACATTTCTGTAGAAATTTACTACATTTGCTTCTCCTGAAACTATTGGTAAACCTGAGCATATGTGTGCATCACCAATATCTTTACAAAAATTTCACAATAGAATTTCTTTATGTCTTAAAAAGAAAAACCAAAAATATATATTTTGTCTCACATAGTTGCAGGGTCTGCTTGTTCTTGTACTGTGCTGGCCTAGTTATTACAGTAAAGCTATTACTGCCTGATTCAACAATGCTTTTGTTTAGCAACTGGCTTTTTGAAGATTGGGGCTGAGAGGGAGTGACTGGTGCAAGGTCAACTGGATGGCTAAGGAAGGACTAGAACTTGTGTCTCCCTGCTCCTAGTCCAGGATCTTAACCACTATACCACATGGCCTTTCTCATTAAATGATCATAAATGGCATATAATTGGGTTGAGTGAATTATTGAAATTAATACCTTGTATAATCCTCTTGTCAAAGAAGCTGTTAAAATCTTGGCATCAACCTATAGCAAAGGAATTGGATAATAGCTTGCACAATTCAAGGAGTCCTTTTCAGCTTTTAAAATTTGAAGCTAATATAGTCTCTTTTACAAAGGATTCCTAAAATATTTCCCAAAAAATAGGAGTCAAAGTGTCCTAATTATTTTTTCCTGCCATTCTGTAGGCATTCCATCTAGCCCAGAGATCTTTCCACTATTCACTGTTATTAATAGCATCCTCCCCCCCCCCCCCCAAGTTAGTCATGCAACTAAATCTGTTAATTTGGCAGCATAGATTTCTGGAAAATGTATTCCATTAAAAAAAACAAAACTCACATCTAATTGAGTATTTCTATATTTTCAGAAAATAAATCTTTGTAAAGGTTCAAAAATTGGAAATTAATTTATGTATGATCACTAAGAATGATCTCCCATTTATCTCTTATTGTCGTTATTATTTTACTTTCTTTCAGTTGTTTCAGTTGAGAACCAATAATTTACCAGATTGTTCTCCCTACTTCCAAAACTTCAGTTTAATATTACTAATGAGTATTCAGCATTCAAAGCATATGATTGATCAAACTCCTATTTAATTGAGCTAAAAAAATTATTTATATTTATTAATAATTTTTGCATACATAAAAGACAAATCAAAAGAAAAATAAAAGGAAAGGAAAGAAAAGAAAGAAAAAGAAATAAAGGAAATAAAGAGAAAGAGAAAGAGAAAGAGAAAGAAAAAAGGGCAAAAAAAGGAAAGGAAGGAAAAAACTAAAGTTAAGAAATGACTTCTGAGCTTCCTTTCAACAGATAATTATAATCTTATTTTCCCTCCTCCCTCTTAAATGTTATACTAGTCCCTTCAGGTCCTTATTTAAACCACATCTTTCCTAATCTTCAAATCCATAAATCATCAATTCATTTCTTTCTTCTTTCAACAAAAAGTCCATATAAGGTTTCCAGTCTTTCAGAAGACTCTTTGCTATTTTTTCTCTGACCAAACAGGTCAGTTTTGCCATTTCTGCAAATTCTGACATTTTCACAATCCATTCCTCCACTGTGGGAATTTCATTATTCTTTCATAATTGATCTAAAGTTAAATTATTATTATTATTTTATTTTATTTTATTTTATTTTATTTAAAATAATAAATACAGCATAACCCAGACAGCTCACAAGCAAAAAACAAAACAGTAAAAACAGCAAACAAACAAACAAGCAATAAATAAATAAATGTAAAAGCCAACAAAAAACTTCCTGGGGCCCCAAACACAGCATATCTCCACAACTCCAGAACAAACTAGAGCTTGCTTAGGTTCAGCCTCCCACTATCCCAAGGCTTAAGGGAATGGCCCGGTTTTCACAGCTTTTCAGAAGGCAGGAAGGTAGTTACCTAACAGATCTCAAGGGGGAGGGTCTTTCGAAGGGCAGAGGCAGCCACAGAGAAGGCATGCTGTCTAGGTCCTATAAGGTGGCAACATTCAAGGGAAGGGATCTGGAGCTTACCTATCCTGTCAGACCTACTGAAATGGGCAGATACTCTCAGGGAGACATGGTTGCACAAATGGCTTTAAAATCACATCCAAAAAGAAACTGGAAGCCAGTGACACTCCTGCAGCAGTGGTGTAACATGAGCAAACCATAGGTGCCCAGAACTGCATACACTGCTGAATTCTGGAGCAGTTGTAATTTCCAGATGGTCATCCAGGGGAGACTGATACAGAGATTAGGAATATAATTCCTGACACAGATGTTCAAAGCTTCTTTTACTTCAGTTTCTAACTTTCAAGTGTGATTCTCTCAATTTTTTTTCTCTAACAGGCATAAGTCTTTTCTTATCATGTATAAATGTTTCAAAGACTATCCTCACAGTGGTTGATTCT